CTGGAGACAGTACAGTATACCTGGAGACAGTACGTTATACCTGGTGACAGGACGTTATACAGGACGTTATACCTGGAGACAGTACAGTATACCTAGAGACAGTACGTTATACCTGGTGACAGGACGTTATACCTGGAGACAGTACAGTATACCTAGAGACAGTACGTTATACCTGGTGACAGGACGTTACACCTGGTGACAGTACGTTATACCTGGTGACAGGACGTTATACCTGGAGACAGGACGTTATACCTGGAGACAGTACAGTATACCTGGTGACAGGACGTTATACCTGGAGACAGTACAGTATACCTAGAGACAGTACCTTATACCTGATGAAAGGACGTTACACCTGGTGACAGTACGTTATACCTGGAGACAGGACGTTATACCTGGAGACAGTACGTTATACCTGGTGACAGGACGTTATACCTGGAGACAGTACAGTATACCTAGAGACAGTACGTTATACCTGGTGACAGTACGTTATACCTGGAGACAGTACAGTATACCTAGAGACAGTACGTTATACCTGGTGACAGGACGTTATACCTGGAGACAGGACGTTATACCTGGTGACAGGACGTTATACCTGGAGGCAGGACGTTATACCTGGAGACAGTACGTTATACCTGGTGACAGGACGTTATACCTGGAGACAGTACAGTATACCTAGAGACAGTACGTTATACCTGGTGACAGGACGTTATACCTGGTGACAGTACGTTATACCTGGTGACAGGACGTTATACCTGGAGACAGGACGTTATACCTGGAGACAGTACAGTATACCTGGTGACAGGACGTTATACCTGGAGACAGTACAGTATACCTAGAGACAGTACGTTATACCTGGTGACAGGACGTTATACCTGGAGACAGTACAGTATACCTAGAGACAGTACGTTATACCTGGTGACAGGACGTTATACCTGGTGACAGTACGTTATACCTGGTGACAGGACGTTATACCTGGAGACAGGACGTTATACCTGGAGACAGTACAGTATACCTAGAGACAGTACCTTATACCTGATGAAAGGACGTTACACCTGGTGACAGTACGTTATACCTGGTGACAGGACGTTAAACCTGGTGACAGTACATTATACCTGGTGATAGTATATTATACCTGGTGACAGTACGTTATACCTGGATACGGTACGTTATACCTGGTGACAGGACGTTATATCCGGTGGCAGTACGTAAAACCTGGTGACAGTACGTTATACCTGGATACAGTACGTTATACCTGGCGGCAGGGCGTTATATCCGGTGACAGTAAGTTATACCTGGATACAGTACGTTATACCTGGCGGCAGGACGTTATATCCGGTGACAGTACGTTATACCTGGTGTACGTTATACCTGGTGACAGTACTTTATACCTAGTGAAAGTACTTTATACCTGGTGACAGGACGTTATACCTGGTGACAGGACGTTATATCCGGTGACAGTACGTTATACCTGGTGTACGTTATGCCTGGTGACAGTACATTATACCTAGTGGCAGTACGTTATACCTGGTGTACGTTATACCTAGTGACAGTACTTTATACCTGGTGACAGGACGTTATATCCGGTGACAGTACGTTATACCTAGTGACAGTACTTTATACCTAGTGACAGTACCTTATACCTGGTGACAGTATGTTATATCCGGTGAAAGTACGTTATACCTGGTGACAGTACGTTATACCTGGTGACAGGACGTTATATCCGGTGACAGGACGTTATATCCGGTGACAGGACGTTATACCTGGTGACAGTACATCATTACTTATTCAGGTCTGAACGATTGTTTGAAATGTTGTCAACATGAACCAAAGACATTTACTAGTTAGATGTGTGTTTTTTAGACAACACGTTGTAGTATTGATGGTATCTGACAGGGACGATCGATCATATGGTTCCAGTATGCCTTGAAATCACACCTCTTGCCATCGAGCTGATGCGTACTTGTCAGGTGTATTTATGACTGCAGTGGCGCATTGCTACATTACACCATGAGTGACACCGTCCGGCTGACTTCACTCAACCCATTCCTTCTCCACCCATAGCTCATTCCTTCTCCACCCATAGCTCATTACTTTTCTCCACCCATAGCTCATTCCTTCTCCACCCATAGCTCATTCCTTCTCCACCCACAGCTCATTCCTTCTCCACCCATAGCTCATTCCTTCACCACCCATAGCTCATTCCTTCTCCACACATAGCTCATTCTTTCTCCACCCATAGCTCATTCCTTCTCTACCCATAGCTCATTCCTTCTCCACCCATAGTTCATTCCTTCTCCACCCATAGCTCATTCCTTCTCCACCCATAGCTCATTCCTTCTCCACCCATAGCTCATTCCTTCTCCACCCATAGCTCATTCCTTCTCCACCCATAGCTCATTCCTTCTCCACCAATAGCTCATTCCTTCACCACCCATAGCTCATTCCTTCACCACCCATAGCTCATTCCTTCACCACCAATAGCTCATTCCTTCACCACCCATAGCTCATTCCTTCACCACCCATAGCTCATTCCTTCTCCGCCCATAGCTCATTCCTTCTCCACCAATAGCTCATTCCTTCTCCACAAAGAAGCACGTGTACAACATGTCAAAAACCAGGTTTGTAACTTATAACGCTGAGAAAAAGAAGATTTGCCATGTTTCATGTCATGTAACCCTCTCCAGTAGTATGTTATGGTGTCGAGATGCAGATACGTTACATGTATAACTACATAAACACACCTCACTCTTTCAGTGTTGTCACAACCCATGGTGCACAGTACACAACCCTGTGCACTGCATCGTGCAGTTAACTTCGACAAAGTACTGTGACTATGTGTCGTAGTCCACCCAACTGTGAATGGACAGCCACATTAACTTGGTTCGCCTATTGACTGCAGTGAGTTGTATGCTCACCAAGGATTTGAGATTGAAAGTACGATGCGCCCTTGAAATAAACATGGGGAAAACAAAGCGACTTTGAGCAGCTAAGCTGGATATGGGCGCCATACAAATATTAGTATGTATATATGTAAGCATCTCAGTATACAGACACGGAGCTCTGTGGCGGATACCGCAGAATTGTGCATTCATCGTCGGTGTAAAGAGTAACTATTTTTCATGAAGATAACGGTAAATTCTTGTCAAATTGCAGTTTAAGTTGAGTCATCTGCTTTAACGTGTTCAAAACAATTTGAAATTAATTACACACCTGAAAACAAGTAACGTATCTATTTGTGTCGTATTTGCACAAAATCCTTGTTGCTATGTCTACTCATTTGCTCTAGTGCACATACAGTATGGGCCCAATAGCAGTAAAATACGGCTTTATTAAAACACATTCAGTTGTCATCATTCATAATACAATACTGTTGACTCAAATCGATTGTAAGTCATCCCGTGGTTGTCTATGATGTTAACACACTGTGATGTCATGGAGACAGTGGGTATCTAGGATCGATCGTCATGGAGACAGTGTACCTAGAATCGATCGTCGATCTGTATGGCAGGGGCCTGTACGGCAGCGACTAAAGCTAGCCTATGTTGAGGTATGGCACTGTTGATTACCTTAGGTAAGATCGCTTGGTGGAACTGAGTCCTGGCAGGCTGTATACCGTACTAAATACCGGTAATGATTTCACCCCTGGGTTTACAACAACAAAATAGTGGCAAACGATACGTTGGGCTCTTCCTCTTAAAGAAAGTAACAGTCTTCAAGAAGGGATGTGTTTACTTACCATATTGGAATATAGAATGACATAATCTTACTTCAAGGTGACACAGACACGGTACGGGAGGGTGGGTGGGGTGGGTGGGGGTTATTATACAGATAAAGGTTACATTGCTTTCCCAAGTGAGTGGAGAGTTGACTAGCCAGTGAACAACGATAGCAGTAGATTAGAAAGCGGCATCAAACAAGTAACCACGAACAATATTTTGACCTTCGTCATTCGTTTTATATTACTATCTGTAAATATTTCAACGCTTATTTTCATTTACATTATCGATAAATATGTCATTACTATGAAAATGCCAATGATAAGATCAAAACAAATATAACCTTACAAATATTAGCTCAATGACAATTCCATCTTCACGGAACCTTTACACGTTGAAATAAAACTAGTGGTTATGCATTATCAATACGCTACATAACCGCAGGTGATATTTGCATCTTTGATGTTATTTCTACAGTTATATCAGGGATAATCTACAACATTATATAGTCGCCCTGGTTATACCATCCGTGACTGCTCCGATATACAAATTGATAGCAACGCCTCTGAAGGAGTGAGAGACTAAAAACTTCTGTTAGTCATTGTTTTTAAATATATATTCCGTATAATGAACACGATAAACAAAACCAGGGATAATCAACAGAACTTCTATTCTCCCTGACAAAACAAATCAATGAAGCCAGTACAAGACGATAATAGTCTGAAGTATATTTTCAGTTTACCTGCAAATTATTATCAAAAGCAATTCTGTAGACCACTAAATACATTTTGATCAGTTTCCATACAAATACTATTTTATTTACTCCATGTACACATTGTCACTAAAGCTGTCAAACATTGCGAACCAACGCATATTCTCTGATACTTATTTACCTTCGAACGTTGGCAGGGATTCTTCGACAATCTATAAATAGAAAGTTGGGATATACCACGTGACGTCACATTGTACATAGCAACGTTGTAGCGATCCAATATGGCGGCTGACACGATGGGAAACTTTGAATTAGAAAAGCTTCGTGCAGAAATTCAGCAGGAAAACCAAATGAAGTAAGACTTTATTTCGTATAAAGATATGACAACTAGTTACCTAAACTAAATTGACCGTTCTGTGTGCATTCCTAACAGGTCATCACGTGCGTGATGACGAGGGGCACTGCTTGACTCCACAGATGGGCTATATGATATGTTATATCTAAAGATGGGATATATGTTTATAAACCCCAGTTTATTAATACCGATTAACTAAACTCTCCATTTGATCCAGGGAGATGTTGGATCAGTCAGCTGCAGAACTCAAATCTACAGTGGAGGAGCTGGAAAAAAGATTTGATGCCATCGAGAATGAAGGTAAACACACACATATTTATATTAAGGTTGAAAGTAACAGACACATGTCGAGAAATGAGGTAACACGCGCATCCCGACACACATACATATAAAAAATGAAGGTAACACCCGCATCCCGACACACATACATATCAAGAATGAAGGTAACACGCGCATCCCGACACACATACATATCAAGAATAAAGGGAGCGCGCACGCACGCACGCACGCACGCACGCACGCACACACACACACACACACACGTCAAGAATGAAGGTAACAAACACACATGTCAAGAATGAAGGTAACACACACACACACACATACCGAATGAAGGTAACACACACATCCAGAATGCGGGTAACACACATCCAGAATGAAGGTAACACACACATCCAGAATGAAGGTAACACACATCCAGAATGAAGGTAACACACATCCAGAATGAAGGTAACACACATCCAGAATGAAGGTAACACACACATCCAGAATGAAGGTAACACACATCCAGAATGAAGGTAACACACACATCCAGAATGAAGGTAACATGCACATCCAGAATAAAGGTAACATGCACATCCAGAATGAAGTTAACACACATCCAGAATGAAGGTAACACACACATCCAGAATGAAGATAACATGCACATCCAGAATGAAGATAACATGCACATCCATAATGAAGGTAACATGCACATCCAGAATGAAGGTAACACACATCCAGAATGAAGGTAACACACACACATCCAGAATGAAGGTAACACACATCCAGAATGAAGGTAACACACATCCAGAATGAAGGTAACATGCACATCCAGAATGAAGGTAACACACATCCAGAATGAAGGTAACACACATCCAGAATGAAGGTAACACACACATCCAGAATGAAGGTAACACACACACATCCAGAATGAAGGTAACACACACATCCAGAATGAAGGTAACACACACACATCCAGAATGAAGGTAACACACACATCCAGAATGAAGGTAACATGCACATGCATAATATAGGTAACACACACATCCAGAATGAAGGTAACACACATCCAGAATGAAGGTAACACACACACATCCAGAATGAAGGTAACACACATCCAGAATGAAGGTAACACACACAGAATGAAGGTAACATCACACAATCCAGAATGTAACACACACACATCCAGAATGAAGGTAACACACATCCAGAATGAAGGTAACACACATGAAGGTAACACACACATCCAGAATGAAGGTAACACACATCCAGAATGAAGGTAACACACATCCAGAATGAAGGTAACACACACATCCAGAATGAAGGTAACACACACATCCAGAATGCAAGGTAACACACATCCAGAATGCAGGTAACACACATCCAGAATGAAGGTAACACACATCCAGAATGAAGGTAACATGCACATCCAGAATGAAGGTAACACACATCCAGAATGAAGGTAACACACATCCAGAATGAAGGTAACACACACATCCAGAATGAAGGTAACATGCACATCCAGAATGAAGGTAACATGCACATCAAGAATGAAGGTAACACACATCCAGAATGAAGGTAAAATGCACATCCACAATGAAGGTAACACACATCCAGAATGAAGGTTACATGCAGAATGAAGGTAACATGCACATCCAGAATGAAAGTAACACACATCCAGAATGAAGGTAGCACACATCCAGAATGAAGGTTACATGCAGAATGAAGGTAACATGCACATCCAGAATGAAGGTAACATGCACATCCAGAATGAAGGTAACACACATCCAGAATGAAGGTTACATGCAGAATGAAGGTAACATGCACATGCAGAATGAAGGTAACATACATCGGGAATGAAGGTTACATCCAGAATGAAGGTAACATGCACATCCAGAATGAAGGTAACACACACATCGGGAATGAAGGTAACACACATCCAGAATGAAAGTAACACACATCCAGAATGAAAGTAGCACACACATCCGGAATGAAGATAACACACATCCAGAATGAAAGTAACACACGCATCCAGAAAGAAGGTAACACACATCCAGAATGAAGGGAACATGCAAACATCCAGAATGAAGGGAACACACATCCAGAATAAAGGTAACACACACTTACCGAATGAAGGTAACACACACACATCCACAATGAAGGTAACACACACTTACCGAATGAAGGTAACACACACACATCCACAATGAAGGTAACACACACTTACCGAATGAAGGTAACACACTAGTGGTGTAACGATTCATCGATAGTATCGATGTTTGCATCGTCAACTACGCGATACGAGTGCATCGATACAAAACACATTTGGGCAATATATCAGGATATTTATATCGCAAGGGTTCATGATACGTCGATGTATCGCCACAAGAGACGATATATCCCGATACTACTTAAATAGTACTTAAAGTTGTAGGGAGTATTGCATAAGTAATAGGAAGGGAGTCTCTTTGAATTTTTTCTGAATTTTAAAAACAAACTAAACCTAAAACGAATTTGTTTGTGTCTGCCATCTTTGTTACATGAACAAAGGAGTTAGTGTATCAGTGAAAGAGTGTGAACATTTTTCAATCTCTGTGAACTGTAAAAGACTTGTCTTTAAGTAATTGAAACATGTTTTAGTTGTTTGACAAATAACACCATTTATTAACAACTATGAACGATGTCTTAGCTTTGTTAAGAAAGAGAAGATAAAATTTAGAAAGCATACTTATGAGTTTTTTGCAGTGATTCTGGTATAAATTACTGTATAAATTGTCTGTGAAAGCATTGGTGCAGAAACATAACTTTTCAAGTGAAACCTAGATCAAGGTATACAGAATATGTTTGATTGTACTTTCTTAAGCATAAAATGCTGAAACTTAATTACATGAACAGCCTTTTAAGTGTGTGTGAATGTAACACATGTTCTGCTGTATAACAAATAAAGATTCAGTCATTTATCTATCATATATGTCCTGTTTTTAGAATTGTAAAGTATCGGGATACGTATCGTATCGCCATCACTGTATCGTGATCATAATCGTCTCGCAGGTTCCTTGCCAATACTTTCATGATATATTGTCTCGCCTCATTAAACTGGTATCGGGATATATCGTCTCGCCACTTAGGCCACGATACACAGCTCTATAACACACTCATTAGAAATGAGGTGAACACACACACACACATGAAGAATGAGGGGAACACACCTACAGAATGAAGGTAGCACACACATCCAGTATAAAGGCAACACACACATTAGAAATGAAGGGAACACACACATCAAGAGTGAGGGGAACACACATACAGAATGAAGATAACACACACACACACACACACATCCAGAATAAAGGCAACACACACACACATCCAGAATGAAGGTAACACATCGAAATGAAGGTAACACACACACATCCAGTATGAAGGTAACACACACACACACACATCCAGAATAAAGGCAACACACACACACACATCCAGAATGAAGGTAACACACACACACACATCCAGAATAAAGGCAACACACACACACACATCCAGAATGAAGGCAACACACACATTAGAAATGAGGGGAACACACACACACACAATGTGTGGTGATGTGACTGTGTTTCAGGTAACGAGTGGCGATGTGACTGTTGCAGGTAATGAGCGGCGATGTGACTGTGTTTCAGGTAATGAGTGGAAGACACGGTTCGAGACCCAGCAGGAGATGAATCAGCAGCTGGAGAGGCAGATCCTCATCTTCCAGAACAAGGTGGAGGAGGCACGTAAAAATGTCCGGGAAGGTAGGTCACACATTGATTAGGACAGCCCCACATCTGTGAGGAACTGTCCACATCTGTGTTGGTAGGTGATACATCTTTAACTACCAATCACACATCTGTGAATGTAGGTCACATATATGGGAGTGCAGGTCTAACATCTCTGAGGGACAGTCACAACTGTGTAGATTCACATTCTAAACTTCATCCACATCTGAGATCTCCTTTGCATCAAGTTTAACATTGGAGTGTGTGATTCAGCAAACAAGTCTCCACGAGATAATCGCAGCTTTGATGACATGGAGGCCAGTCCACAGATGATCAAGAATCTGGAGAAGGAGAAGCAGAGTCTGTACAACCAACTACGTGATCTTGAGTGGAGGCTTGACCAGGAGTCCAAGGTGAGAGTGACATGCATACGAGGGTTTGCCAGTCACCAGGGTGGGGTACACTCAGACATAAAGCTGGAGTGCTGGTGCTTGTGGCACATTCATACCTTAATAGAAGTGAAAATTGTGTATTTACAAACACAACAAATCCAAATATTGTGCTAAGCCTTGGCCAGTAGGAGTGTTACAGGACAGATCTGGTTGATGTTGCAGGCATATCACAAGGCCAATGATGTGGTTGATGTTGCAGGCAAATCACAAGGCCAATGATGTGGTTGATGTTGCAGGCATATCACAAGGCCAATGATGTGGTTGATGTTGCAGGCATATCACAAAGCCAATGATGTGGTTGATGTTGCAGGCATATCACAAGGCCAATGATGTGGTTGATGTTGCAGGCATATCACAAGGCCAATGATGTGGTTGATGTTGCAGGCATATCACAAGGCCAATGATGTGGTTGATGTTGCAGGCATATCACAAGGCCAATGATCTGGTTGATGTTGCAGGCATATCACAAGGCCAATGATGTGGTTGATGTTGAAGGCATATCACAAGGCCAAGGATGTGGTTGATGTTGCAGGCATATCCACAAGGCCAATGATGTGGTTGATGTTGCAGGCATATCACAAGGCCAATGATGTGGTTGATGTTGCAGGCATATCACAAGGCCAATGATCTGGTTGATGTTGCAGGCATATCACAAGGCCAATGATGTGGTTGATGTTGCAGGCATATCACAAGGCCAATGATGTGGTTGATGTTGCAGGCATATCACAAGGCCAATGATGAGAGGAAGCAGCATGTCCTGGAGATCAATGCTACTAAAGGTCACTTGGAAGACGTGCGGATCAGGCAGAAGATGGCGCTTCTGGATGGCAGTACCACAGCAAGAACAGCTAGAGATTCAGGAGGGTGAGTACAACAGTAAGAACAGCTAGAGATCCGGGAGTGTGAGGACCACTCAAGAACAGCTAAAGATTCAGGAGGGTGAGTACCACTCAAGAACAGCTAGAGTTTCAGGAGGGTGGGTACCACAGCAAGAACAGACAGAGGTTCGGGAGGGTGAGTACCACAGCAAGAACAGCCAGAAAGTCAGGTGGTAAGTACCACAGTAAGAACAGCCAGACAAAGTTGGGTAAGTATCACATGAAGAACTGCAAGATATTCAAAGGGTGAGTACCACATGATGGGGGTGAGTACCACATTCAAGGGGTAAGTACCACATGATGGGGGCGAGTACCATATTCAAGGGGTTAGTACCACATTCAAGGGGTTAGTACCACATGATGGGGGTGAGTACTGTATTCAAGGGGTTAGTACCACATGATGGGGGTGAGTACAACATGATGGGGGTGAGTACCACATTCAAGGGGTTAGTACCACATGATGGGGGTGAGTACCATATTCAAGGGGTTAGTACCACATGATGGGGGTGAGTACCATATTCAAGGGTTAGTACCACATGATGGGGGTGAGTACCATATTCAAGGGGTTAGTACCACATCATGGGGGTGAGTACCATATTCAAGGGGTTAGTACCACATGATGGGGGTGAGTACCATATTCAAGGGGTTAGTACCACATGATGGGGTGAGTACCATATTCAAGGGGTTAGTACCACATGATGGGGGTGAGTACCATATTCAAGGGGTTAGTACCACATGATGGGAGTGAGTACCATATTCAAGGGGTTAGTACCACATGATGGGGGTGAGTACCATATTCAAGGGGTTAGTACCACATGCTGGGAGTGAGTACCATATTCAAGGGTTAGTACCACATGATGGGGGTAGTGAGTACCATATTCAAGGGTTAGTACCACATGATGGGGGTGAGTACCATATTCAAGGGGTTAGTACCACATGATGGGAGTGAGTACCATATTCAAGGGGTTAGTACCACATGATGGGAGTGAGTACCATATTCAAGGGGTTAGTACCACATGATGGGAGTGAGTACCATATTCAAGGGGTTACCACATGATTCAAGGGTTAGTACCACATGATGGGAGTGAGTACCATATTCAAGGGTTAGTACCACATGATGGGAGTGAGTTACCATATTCAAGGGGTTAGTACCACATGGGGGGTGAGTACCATATTCAAGGGGTTAGTACCACATGATGGGGATGAGTACCATATTCAAGGGTTAGTACCACATGATGGGGAGTGAGTACCATATTCAAGGGGTTAGTACCACATGATGGGGGTGAGTACCATATTCAAGGGGTTAGTACCACATGATGGGGTGAGTACCATATTCAAGGGGTTAGTACCACATGATGGGGGTGAGTACCATATTCAAGGGGTTAGTTATGGGGGTGAGTACCATATTCATTAGATGATGGGGAGTGAGTACCATATTCAAGGGGTTAGTACCACATGATGGGAGTGAGTACCATATTCAAGGGGTTAGTACCACATGATGGGGTGTGAGTACCATATTCAAGGGTTAGTACCACATGATGGGGGTGAGTACCATATTCAAGGGGTTAGTACCACATGATGGGGGTGAGTACCATATTCAAGGGGTTAGTACCACATGATGGGGTGAGTACCATATTCAAGGGGTTAGTACCACATGATGGGAGTGAGTACCATATTCAAGGGTTAGTACCACATGATGGGGTGAGTACCATATTCAAGGGTTAGTACCACATGATGGGGGTGAGTACCATATTCAAAGGGGTTAGTACCACATGATGGGGGTGAGTACCATATTCAAGGGGTTAGTACCACATGATGGGGGTGAGTACCACATTCAAGGGGTTAGTACCACATGATGGGGGTGAGTACCATATTCAAGGGGTTAGTACCACATGATGGGGTGAGTACCATATTCAAGGGGTTAGTACCACATGATGGGGGTGAGTACCATATTCAAGGGGTTAGTACCACATGATGGGGGTGAGTACCATATTCAAGGGGTTAGTACCACATGATGGGGGTGAGTACCATATTCAAGGGGTTAGTACCACATGATGGGAGTGAGTACCATATTCAAGGGGTTAGTACCACATGCTGGGAGTGAGTACCATATTCAAGGGTTAGTACCACATGATGGGGGTGAGTACCATATTCAAGGGGTTAGTACCACATGATGGGGGTGAGTACCATATTCAAGGGTTAGTACCACATGATGGGGGTGAGTACCATATTCAAGGGGTTAGTACCACATGATGGGGGATGAGTACCATATTCAAGGGGTTAGTACCACATGATGGGAGTGAGTACCATATTCAAGGGGTTAGTACCACATGCTGGGAGTGAGTACCATATTCAAGGGGTTAGTACCACATGATGGGGGATGAGTACCATATTCAAGGGGTTAGTACCACATGATGGGGGTGAGTACCATATTCAAGGGGTTAGTACCACATCATGGGGGATGAGTACCATATTCAAGGGGTTAGTACCACATCATGGGGTTGAGTACCATATTCAAGGGGTTAGTACCACATCATGGGGGATGAGTACCATATTCAAGGGGTTAGTACCACATGAAGAAGAGGAGTAATATGTTTAGCATCATTCATTTATGAAAAGGAAAAAAATTATGCAGAAATGTCTTTATCCAGTTCATCTTAAAACTTTTCAAAAGTTTTATTGAGTCCTTGAAAATTGAAACCCTGATCAAACAATTTTCAAATTATAGCTGTATGACAGCTATGAAATCTCGCTAGAAACAGTATGCTCAGTTTTATTTCAGCATCATGAAATGCAAACACCAACGTCGGGAGCTGCTGGAGTATTGCTGGCAGGAGACAGTAGAATTTATCATCCCTCTTCTCATGTCATGTGGGTAGTGTCTTGTTGGTCAGAATCTGAAGCATGACCAGGAAATGGTTCCTGGTTTATATATACATGCATGTGATACATAAAAGCTGTTTACAAATGGATATATTTGTACATTTTTCAGGAATATTCCTGATGATCAACGAGTGCTTGACCCGAAGCGTGGACCAATCAAGAAAACAGCAGGGGTGAAGAACCTCCCCAGTCTGGAGATGGTGTGATGAAGGGAGACAACCCTGGCATGACCCATGGAAGCATGGCACACATGGAACCCATGCAACTTCTCACACAGACTGTAAACAAAAAGCTACCTGTGATAACTAATTTATTATCTTGTAGTCGCCATCTCAGTACATACAGTGCATTATCCTGGTGTACTGAGATTGTGTAGACATATTTCTGTCATCAGTGTGAGGTAGGACACTTGTCAGGTGTGGAGACAATGCCAGCAGCCTCGGATCACCTTTACTCTATAGTTTTACTCTATGGTTCATGATTTTGATAACATTTGATCCAGCCATGAAACAACCTTGTGTCTTACAATTGTGTAGAATAACCTCTGATGTCCACGAGAAATATCACATGACACAGGGACTATTATCACAGGAACATAACAAATGACACATTGACTATGTATAGACACTTTACAGACAGACACACAGCTCTATATGTAGACACTCTGTCTTTATTTATAGCGACCCTGACTTTATATGTAGACACACTGTTTTATATAAAGACACTCCAAACTTTATACACAGACACTTAAAACTTTGTACACAGACACAGGGAACTGTACACAAAAGTGTAAGAAATTCAGGAGGTTAGATTCACCGTGGTTAGATGTGTGAACACCCACCTCCAGTAACGAGGAAGGAGAGGAGTATTGTCTAGTAAGGGAACCCCCATGTATGATGGAGTATGGTGTCGTGAGGGAACCCCCATGTATGATGGAGTATGGTGTCGTGAGGGAACCCCCATGTATGATGGAGTATTGTGGAGTGAGGGAAACCCCATGTATGATGGAGTATTGTCTAGTATGGGAACCCCCATGTATGATGGAGTATTGTGGAGTGAGTCCACCCCCATGTATGATGGAGTATTGTGGAGTGAGGGAACCCCCATGTATGATGGAGTATTGTGTGCTGAGGGAACCCCCATGTATGATGGAGTATTGTGTGCTGAGGGAACCCCCATGTATGATGGAGTATGGTGTGGTGAGGGAACCCCCATGAATGATGGAGTATTGTGTGGTGAGGGAACCCCATGTATGATGGAGTATGGTGTGGTGAGGGAACCCCCATGCATGATGGAGTATTGTGGAGTAAGGGAACCCCCATGTATGATGAAGTATTGTGGAGTGAGGGAACCCTCATGTATGATGGAGTATGGTGTGGTGAGGGAACCCCCATGTATGATGGAGTATTGTGGAGTGAGGGAACCCCCATGTATGATGGAGTATTGTGGAGTGAGGGAACCCCCATGAATGATGGAGTATTGTGTGGTGAGGGAACCCCATGTATGATGGAGTATGGTGTGGTGAGGGAACCCCCATGTATGATGGAGTATTGTGGAGTAAGGGAACCCCCATGTATGATGGAGTATTGTGGAGTGAGGATCCCCATGTATGATGGAGTATTGTGGAGTGAGGGAACCCCCATGTATGATGGAGTATTGTGTGCTGAGGGAACCCCCATGTATGATGGAGTATTGTGTGCTGAGGGAACCCCCATGTATGATGGAGTATGGTGTGGTGAGGGAACCCCCATGAATGATGGAGTATTGTGTGGTGAGGGAACCCCATGTATGATGGAGTATGGTGTGGTGAGGGAACCCCATGTATGATGATGAGTATTGTGGAGTGAGGGAACCCCATGTATGATGGAGTATTGTGTGGTGAGGGAACCCCCATGTATGATGGAGTATGGTGTGGTGAGGGAACCCCATGTATGATGGAGTATTGTGGAGTGAGGGAACCCCCATGTATGATGGAGTATTGTGGAGTGAGGGAACCCCCATGAATGATGGAGTATTGTGTGGTGAGGGAACCCCATGTATGATTAAGTATGGTGTGGTGAGGGAACCCCCATGTATGATGGAGTATTGTGGAGTAAGGGAACCCCCATGTATGATGGAGTATTGTGGAGTGAGGAACCCCCATGTATGATGGAGTATTGTGGAGTGAGGATCCCCCATGTTGTGGATGGGGAACCCCCATGTATGATGGAGTATTGTGGAGTGAGGGAACCCCCATGTATGATGGAGTATTGTGGAGTGAGGGAACCCCCATTTATGATGGAGCAATGTGTGGTCAGTCAAGGCAGTATTTGGTGCCTGTCTCACTGTGTGAAGGCAACAACTGTACAACTACGCAATCTAAAGCTGCGGCTTTATGGGTACAATGAATAATGGTCTGTTTCTGTATATATGTCATGAAATACTTGCATAATTACAGTTTGTTTCATTGTGAAATTCATATCAATTATGCTGTTAAATATCTGACCATGTTTCTATAATATACTTGGATTCATTGCTGATTTCAAAATCAATACCCAAGAAATTATACCCCAATTATGAATTATATAAAACATATATGTGTACACCGACCTGCAATCTGATGACAAATTCCTTGTGTGATACGCCGGGTACACCTCGAAATCCCTTCACCTGACACAGGTCATAGTGACTTATGGAGGTATACCTTGACCTCCAGTCCCCTGACACAGGTCACAGTGTGGTATGGAGATATACCTTGACCTCCAGTCACCTGACACAGGTCACAGTGTGGTATGGAGGTATACCTTGACCTCCAGTCACCTGACACAGGTCCTAGTGTGGTATGGAGGTATACCTTGACCTCCAGTCACCTGACACAGGTCCTACAGCTTGTTCAGCTTGACCTGAGCTACTCTACATATGCATGACCCGGGAGGTCAAATGGCACAGATGGCAGGTCGAGTTAACTTCATTAAATAGGGGACATGTTCTGGTCAGCCCAGGGTTGCACTGGAATCACCAGTTGCTGCTGCAGTTTGCTGCCTAAAAGCGGGAATCGGAAATATTAAACCATCTGCAGCTTCTTTTTTTTAAGAAAGTTAGGACATTTGCTGAGACACTGAGATGGCAAACGGCGACCTCAATGTCTCGGCTTTTCAGGCATGTTGACAATCAACTGACAAAGGTGCACCCTTCACAATAATAGACCCAACCAGTTATGACATGGTCACGCAATGCATTAGTATTCACTTGATCAGGTCAAGCTGACCTCCAGTCACTTGACACAGGTCCTAGTGTGGTATGGAGGTATACCTTGACCTCCAGTCACTTGACACAGGTCCTAGTGTGGTATGGAGGTATACCTTGACCTCCAGTCACCTGACACAGGTCCTAGTGTGGTATGGAGGTATACCTTGACCTCCAGTTACTTGACACAGGTCCTAGTGTGGTATGGAGGTATACCTTCAGGTGCACCCTTCACAATAATAGACCCAACCAGTTATGACACGGTCACGCAATGCATTAGTATTCACTTGATCAGGTCAAGCTGACCTCCAGTCACTTGACACAGGTCACAGTGTGGTATGGAGGTATACCTTGACCTCCAGTCACTTGACACAGGTCCTAGTGTGGTATGGAGGTATACCTTGACCTCCAGTTACTTGACACAGGTCCTAGTGTAGTTTGGAGGTATACCTTGAGATCCAGTCACTTGACACAGGTCCTTGTGTGGTATGGAGGTATACCTTGACCTCCAGTCACTTGACACAGGTCCTTGTGTGGTATGGAGGTATATCTTGACCTCCAGTCACTTGACACAGGTCCTAGTGTAGTTTGGAGGTATACCTTGAGATCCAGTCACTTGACACAGGTCCTTTTGTGGTATGGAGGCACACCTTGACCTCCAGTTACTTGACACAGGTCCTAGTGTAGTTTGGAGGTATACCTTGACATCAAGTCACTTGACACAGGTCCTTGTGTGGTATGGAGGTATACCTTGACCTCCAGTCACTTGACACAGGTCCTTGTGTGGTATGGAGGTATATCTTGACCTCCAGTCACTTGACACAGGTCCTAGTGTAGTTTGGAGGTATACCTTGAGATCCAGTCACTTGACACAGGTCCTTGTGTGGTATGGAGGCACACCTTGACCTCCAGTTACTTGACACAGGTCCTAGTGTAGTTTGGAGGTATACCTTGACATCCAGTCACTTGACACAGGTCAAATAGTTCAAAATATTTACACCTTGAATTCCACTCACCTAATTCATTCAGTAGAAAACTAAACCATATCACATCATATACATGTCATTGTTGAAAAGTAGGGACATCAGTCCAGGGTGTACACACTACGGTCACCCACATAGACAGAGCAGATGAAATCAAACAGAGAAGAGTTAGGCCTTTCTCACCCAGGTACCTGGTACCTATACTTGCACAGACTGGTAGATATACTGCTGATGTTTTCCCAAAGCCCCCACTATTTCAGAAGAACATGTTATTTTATTGTTCAATCATTCATGGAACAAAATAGATTTTAATCATTGATTGTTATAATATCTTTCTACTCTTTGACTTTTTAAATAAAACTTCAATCTTGTATGTGTAATTCATTGTTTGTAGTTCATAGTGGGCATGAACATCACCAGAGACTGCTTCGCTGTGTCAACATCTCCAGGGCAATGCTTTACATAACACTGTATCAATATGATACAATACTGGAACATCTCCAGGACAATGCTTTATATAACACTGTATCAATATGATACAATACTGGAACATCTCCAGGACAATGCTTTATATCACATAGTGTCAACTAGATACAATACTGGAACATCACCAGGACAATGCTATATATAACACTGTATCAACATGATACAATATAAGACTAGAACATCACCAGGACAATGCTTTATATAACACTGTATCAACATGATACAATACTGGAACACCACCAGGACAATGCTATATATCACATAGTGTCAACTAGATACAATACTGGAACATCACCAGGACAATGCTTTATAGAACAGTGTGTCAACATGATACCATATAAGACTGGAACAGCATGAGTACAATGCTTGATAAAACATTGTATCAACACGATACAATACCGCAACATCACCGGGACAAGGCTTTATATAACACTATATCAACATGTTACAATACTGGAACATCACCAGGGCAGTGATTTATATAACACTGTATCAACATGATACAATACTGGAACATGACCAGGGCAATGCTTTATATAACACTGTATCAACATGATACAATACTGGAACATCACTTGGGTTAATGCTTTATATAACGCTTTGTCAACATGATAGTACAATATAAGACTTGAACAGCATGAGGACAATGCTTTATATCACAATGTATCAACATGACACAATATAAGACTGGAACATCACCAGGACAATGCTTTATATAACACTGTATCAACATGATACAATATAAGACTGGAACAGCATGAGGACAATACTGTATATTACACTGTATCAACATGATGCAATATAAGACTGGAACATCACCATGGCAATAGTTTATAAAACACTGTATCAATATGATACAATATAAGACTGGAACAGCGTGAGGACAATGCTTTATATAACACTGTATCAACATGATACAATATAAGACTGGAACAGCATGAAGGCAATGCTTTATATAACACTGTATCAATATGATACAATACATTAACATCACCAGGGCAATGCTTTATATAACACTGTATCAACATGATACAATATAAGACTGGAACAGCATGAGGACAATGCTTTATATAACACTTTATAAACATGATACAATACTGGAACATCACCAGGGCAATGCTTTATATAACACTGTATCAACATGATACAATATAAGACTGGAACATCACCAGGGCAATGCTTTATATAACACTGTATCAACATGATACATTCTATGACTGGAACATCACCAGGACAATGTGATACAATACTGGAACATCACCAGGGGAATGCATTATATAACACTGTATCAATATGATACACTACTGGAACATCACTTGGTTAATGCTTTATATAACACTTTATCAACATGATAGTACAATATAAGACTGGAACAGCATGAGGACAATGCTTTATATAACACTGTATCAACATGACACAATATAAGACTGGAACATCACCAGGGCAATACTTTATAAAACACTGGGGCAGTAGTAGAAGTAATGGGGGTACGAGATCACTTTCAAGAAAGGTCGCTGTAAAGCTTTATTTCATTAATAAAGCTTTGTCAGGCCCCTAGATCTCGCCCCCATCGTGTCTACTACTTTTGAATCCCCTTTTGAATCCCCCCGAGTGTGATTTGGGGTAGATGATCGACCATTGCTGCCTGCCTATACACGTTGTCTTTCAAGTGTAGGACGTACGAGGTGTCTTCCTCGCCAGGCTGATCGAATCCCTCTATGCCTCCTAGACCCCCGAGTGTGATTTGGGGTAGATGATCGGCCATTGCTGCCCGCCTATACACGTTGTCTTTCAAGTGTAGGACGTACGAGGTGTCTTCCTCGCCAGGCTGATCGAATCCCTCCGTGTCCCCTAGATCGTTAAGTGTGGCGTTGGGGTAGATGATCGGCCATTGCTACCCGCCTATACACGTTGTCTTTCAAGTGTAGGACGTACGAGGTGTCTTCCTCGCCAGGCTGATCGAATCCCTCCGTGTCCCCTAGATCGTTAAGTGTGGCGTTGGGGCGATGATTGGACATTGATATATTACTATTACGAGATAGTTTCCAATTGTTTTTCTGATAATTTCTCAGGGGTGCACTTCAACCCCATGAAGTGTATGTTGTCGGGTAGGAAGATCTTGGTGAGTGATATCGTGTCTTCCACGGTCACGGTGACCCCCTGCAGACTGGTGTGGGAGTCGGCACCAACCCGCACGTAAACAGTGCAAACCTGATACTGGTGCCGTTTCACCCACCCGAGTTTGACCCCCTTCACGATTTCGGCTTCATCCTGCGATGGTTCCCCTAGGTAGACTTTGATGATCAGAGTGGCGTTCTCCGGTAGACTCTCCAGGATGTTGACCACGCCAGCGAATTCAGACACCAACTGCAATGTCATGTTTTGCACCCCCAGTTTACTCGATAGTATGTGGGCTGACATACTGGCGTCTGGGCTGATGACTACGCTACGGCTCTGAGCCGGGACGTAAGCCACGAGCAGGGTTCCGTTGTTCACGACTTTGTTTAGGTAGTTGTCTTTGTTCTCCGTGAACACGTAGGGGGAGCCGAGCCTAATATTGAGAAACCAGTCGACTTTAGCGGGTAACAACACCCACTTGTCATCGTCGGTGAAGACGAGCGTATATGGCTTGTTTCGGGCGACGGTAGTGCTCTCAATATCTTCTATGTCGAACAGTTTGCCCCCGAACGATGGGTATACTACCCATTTATCATCACCGGTGCTGACTAGGGTGTACCGAGTGTTGACGACTGCTCTTGAGGTATCTACTATATCACCTAGGGTTCCACCGGAGGGGACTTCAACGCGTTTGTAAATGTTGTTTTTCAGTTGCAAGGCGTACAATTTACCATCTTCTCCGGGGTTGTCTAATCCGCGTGTGTCCCCGAGGTCGGAGATCCCCGTATTGATGCATTTTTCAACTTCATCCCGGGGCCTTGTGCGCTAGTCATTTTATGTGCAGCGTTATGCTGAGGTATCCTATATTCACAGGGTTATGATTTATATCTAACACAGATATTATCAGCTCAGGGATGTTGCCCCGGGTTAACCTCTTATACTGCCGCGGTGAAAACGACTCGGTTCTGCCGTCGTTGTATTTTGCCATTTTCACTGGTACGGCTCTCAGTGTCGTGGAAGGGTGACCCCCTTGAATGTTGTCCGTTGTGCTCAGCTGGCCGAGATGAATGCACAGCTCTCGGTACGGTACTAGGTCGGGTCACTTCGTGCCTGTGACGGTAGTTGTTGGTTTTATCTCGTCCGGCGGCATACCGAGTGTCCTCGCCAATGGTTGACCGAGCCTCAAGGAGTTTCTTCCGTTGTTGATTAACACCACTGTGCCGTTTGAGTCGTTCATCTTGAGTTCGGCTCCCAAGGGTTTGAAGACCTCGTCGCTTAGCGAGCACAAGCTGTAGTAGCCGTCAGTTATCTGGTTGCGGGCGCCACTGACGAACAGCTTGTTGTTGTTGACGTTGATGTTAGTCCATCGTGGTAGGTAGGTGATATCGCAGAGTGCGACTTCGAGTTGACCCGACGTGTTATCGATCGCGTGCATCAGCTGAACGGCCTCGCCGCTCGTTATTCCTGGAAGTGTTATGTACATGTTAGAGTATATATACTCATTATATAATACTTTTACAATGTACAAGCCGGGAGTGTTTTACCCTAAACTGGACATAGATTTCCCACACAAGATCGTGGTCGCTGCTGGGATGTATTTCGACGCCCAGTTTATAGATGTGTTCGACCGGTATAAGCTTTCGGTGACTAAAGTCAAGGCTGTCCATGCTTGGTTCAACAACCCGATGCAGTTCTGACAGAATCAACTCAACTTCGCCGTCTGGTGCGCTACAATGGGGTGTGGTGTGACATTGACCGACACTCGGTGTGGACCACTGAGTCAGTCTGTGTTCACATTCCATGTGTACTACCAGGCGTATCCTCAAAGAGATCAGCGCCCCGCTCCGACAGGACAAAGCATGGGACGCAGTAAACAACCAGTACGATAGACGGGCCTACGAACGTATTTGCAACGAATTCGAACTAAACCCGAAGACGGATTGGCGTTTGCCGGGGCCGAACCACAGGTTGGGTATCCCCATCGCTCACAATATGCCTATCGTGGATGCCAGCGAGAAGATGAAAGAATGGGGGTACAAGTCGTATCATCACCTCACAACAAACGAGTGGGATGAGCGTTACATGGCTTTCGACAACAGCAAGGATTACCGAGTCTGGAGGTTCGAGCAGGGGGCAGCGGATAACTGGAAAAAGTTCATGTTGGACACGTCGAGAGGGTTCACTCGTGCCGGTGTAATCAGATTGAACGACTCGATTTGAACGTACGCTGTTGGGTGCGCAGACGCAAACGCGTTCCAACATCCTCGGTAAGGGGACTGCTTACGACGCGCAGAAACAGTTCGTTGTTAATGTTGAGGATGCTATCAATGCTCCAGTTGATCTACCGAGTGCCATCAAATGCTACCAAGACGTGTTGGAATACGCCCGGTCGAAAGTCGACTACGTGTTCGACGTGGGACTGTACATGGCTCCGAGCCATATGCAACTGAGAGTAAAAAAAGTGGTGGGCTACAACAACGAAATAGTCATAGCCACGGCAGACCAAAAGTTGTGCGTCAACGCCGATGTTAACACCCCCCACGTCCCACCACCCACGACTGGTGAAACGGGTATAGTCGTACCACCCCCGGAGCCCAGGGTTCAACCAACATCCCTACAGCCACAATCCAATCAGCAGCACATCGATCGTAAAACAGCCCTGGTGGTTGGCGGGGTCGCGGCCGGGTTGGGCTCATTTGGCTAAAAATTCCTTAGCCGCTACGTACACCAGACCCGCAACGGCGACGATGGCTGCCCACAGGTTTTGACCGAGCCA